AATAATGATAATAACTGCTTTTAACATATTAGTTTGACTATGACTATGTAATAGGCTATGTAATATTCGTTTCAATCACACTGCCCATTCGCCCCATGCATGGACGGAGGACCTTATTTAATTTACACAAAATAAACATAACTAGCAAACACAATTAAAAAACATGAAACCAAACACAATTAAAAGATTAAAACGTCATAATTTAAAATGCATAAAAGACTAATTAAAATTAATTTATGGGCTAACATCTTGTCTGTGATCCATCATGTTTTAAATAACAATTAATAATTGAAGAAATAAAAGTATTTCTTCAAATAAATGCCCTGAATTGAACAAACGCCCCTCAAATACCCCGAATAACCCCCCCCCCCTTCCAAAAATAAATGCCATTAGGAATAAGCACTTAGGGCGTTTAATTTTTCTTGTCTCTAACAACTATGGACGGATGAAATGAAAGCAACATCATTTTCAACATTGAATTAATTATCAATGTTTTACCCTATTAGAATTAAATTAACTGCTAATTAAGGATTTATAAGCCATACAAAAACACTTTTTAACATCAATGTGGACTACATTTACCAGTAAACACTGGCTCCTCAAAAACCACCTGAACAATAATGCCCCTGGGTGCTTGGTATATTATAATTTATTGTATATTATATAATTTTTTCTTAATTATCTGACTGTAAATGCCAAATAATATAAAAACAAAGGTATGATTGACAATCAAATTATTATTATTATTAATTGTTATAATCAAACTATAACAATCAATGCATTCAGGGTGTGGTGAAATGATGGGAGAGGATGATGGAGCTATGTGTGGCAAATTTTTAGGGAGCCTGTACAGTAGTTCAGTGGTCAGAGCCGCCATTATTAAGGCCCCATGATAGTAATTAATATATTTTTTTTAAATATGGAAAACAAAATGCTACCTGCATTTTCTATGGGCCCCGTGTAAGCTTCGGCCCCGGGAATCTTCCCCCTGCCCAACCTCTCGGTGGGCGGTTGTGGTTATGGTAATCCATATATATATGGATTTATAAGCCATACAAAAACACTTTTTAACATCAATGTGGACTACATCTACCAGTAAACACTGGCTCCTCAAAAGCCACCTGAACAATAATGCCCCTGGGTGCTTGGTATATTATAATTTATTGTATATTATATAATTTTTTCTTAATTATCTGACTGTAAATGCCAAATAATATAAAAACAAAGGTATGATTGGCAATCAAATTATTATTATTATTAATTGTTATAATCAAATTATAACAATCAATGCATTCAGGGTGTGGTGAAATGATGGGAGAGGATGATGGAGCTATGTGTGGCAAATTTTTAGGGAGCCTGTACAGTAGTTCAGTGGTCAGAGCCGCCATTATTAAGGCCCCATGATAGTAATTAATATATTTTTTTAAAATATGGAAAACAAAATGCTACCTGCATTTTCTATGGGCCCCTGGTAAGCTTCGGCCCCGGGAATCTTCCCCCTGCCACCCTCTCCGTGGCCGGTTGTGGTTATGGTAATCCTCAAAAGTATAGAATAACCCATACTATTTTAGTATTCTTTTCATTTATTATTTATTTATTAATCTATCATGATAAGTATAAGAACAATAACATCAATTGTTATCGAACGTGATTTAACATGCAGGTGGGTACGATTCGTATTTCAGAATTCAAACCCCCCTCTTCGTCGGTCGCCCTCTCATGTTCCTGTTGGTTTCTAGGTTGGCGAGGCCTTTTTGCGACTCCTAATATTAGTCTCAGCCAGGGATATGATCGGGCCAGGTTGATTTAAGCCACTTTTGAAGGAATTGGTTTTTTGAAGGAAATGGTTTGATTTTAGTATTAGGCTATTCGATGAGAAGGTCATATGAACATCATAATTTATATTAAAATATTGTCATTGTCAATTTTACGGATCCGAAAGACATTTTTTGCTGCATCCATATTATTTTTTTAATATTATTATTAATGTAATATATATATATATCTGTCTCTTATACACATCTAGATGTGTATAAGAGACAGGTATTAGCTACTATGTACGTTGTTAGAAAATGAGCAATCTTTATAAAAACAAATAAAAATAGTTCAGGTGATTTAACATGCAGGTGGGTACGATTCGTACTTCAGAATTCAAACCCCCCTCTTCGTCGGTCGCCCTCTCATGTTCCTGTTGGTTTCGAGGTTGGCGAGGCCTTTTTGCGACTCCTAATATTAGTCTCAGCCAGGGATATGATCGGGCCAGGTTGATTTAAGTCACTTTTGAAGGAATTGGTTTTTTGAAGGAAATGGTTTGATTTTAGTATTAGGCTATTCGATGAGAAGGTCATTAGAACATCATAATTTATATTAAAATATTGTCATTGTCAATTTTACGGATCCGAAAGACATTTTTTGCTGCATCCATATTATTTTTTTAATATTATTATTAATGTAATATATATATATATATATATTAATGTACTTCACCAGCGAAGGCAAAACCTGCATACCGTCAACGTCATCCTCCTCCTCCTGCAACATGAATATATAGCCAATCACAATGCTTCAATGATACCATTACTACCGCAGTGGAATATTCCCCTAGAAATTTACTAAAGTAATTAGCTGTTTATGTAATAATAAATTAAAAAAAATAAATACAATAGTACGTGTTAATAAAAAAAAATTACAGAGATACAAAAAAATATTAAAAATGTATGGCTCGCATGGCTCGCATGACTCGCATGACTCGCTGGCTCGCACTTTGTCACGACCCCAATGAAGTCTTCTGGTAGGGAACTGCAATCTACATAAAGCCAGGCACTCACTGCGATCGACGGTAGTCGGCCCACGTGGTTCTATAGAGAACGCAACGCCACGACGCGCGCGCGCAACGAATGGTTTTTAATGACGATCCGTTCACTTTGTCATCGACAATCAGCCAATGGCGTCGCCTCGGCAAACGCATACGGGGAGCGGAGTTGGTTAATTGGCTGTGAATAAAATAATGAATATGTCCAGAAGAAATTATTAAGTGTCATAATTGTGATTTGAAATGAAAATACATTTTACCCTCGCCTCTCAGAAGGAGAGGTGAAGGGTATTGCAATATCACGTGTCTGGGCGTGTGTCTGTGTGTGTTGTGTGTCTTTCCGGGCACGTAATTAAAAACTACTAAACCGATTTATTTCCAATTTTCACACATTAATTGTCAATGTTACATAAATCTCGGTGTAACATAAATTTGGTGCAGATTGGAAGTACGGTGCAGATTTTAGAATGTTTATATGATAGAGGCCTCGTTTGCTAGGTCGATCTGACTCGAGCGGAACCGGGGGCCGAATTAGGAGGTGTGTCAAATTCTGGTCGGGGAACTGGAAATGGTCCGGCCGGCGTGCAAACTCGCTCGTCGATTGATGGGCTTACCACACGAAACCTGATGCTAGGCCGATCCTACTCTAGCTGATCGACCCCGGGCCAGAGTAGGGGGTGTGTCAAATTAGGTCTAATAATAAATATGAAAGAAAAATAGTATAGGGATCGGAATTATTAATGTGAGTTTTTGAATTTTTTAAGGATTTTTCATTATTTGGAAAAAGGTTACAATGTAGGCCTACATAAATGCCATTATTTTTTTTTCAGTAAATAGATATGGCGCAACAGGGCGAGTAGAGGTTTTGAAATCTCAAATTATCTTGTTAGGCCTATATATCATATTTGCGTGTCATCAAACAAGTGTATTGCTGATGTAACACTAATTTTAACTTTACTGAAACTTTAAAATTCGTAGACCATACTAAGTAGTGAAATATATTAAACCTGTAATCTTGGTAGCAGTAACTTGGATACATAATTTATCAACGGAGACAGTTTCCGTCAATAGTCATCATGCTGAATCGTAGCAGTTGAAAACATAACCTAGTTATAGAAGCAACGTAATCTCCTTGAAGAATAATACAATCTCATAGGTCCATTGTTGTCGTTATTGGCCAATCGTTATTCGTATTTGCGGAATAATGGTTAATTTCAAATGAATATTCAATAACTGTGCTTCTATACTGTAATGGTATGCTACGCCAGAAACTATAGAATAATAGTTATTGAATAATAATTTTTAATTGACCGGGTTTCCTTACTTTAAAGGTGCACTGAGCTCGAGCATATTTTACAATTTAAAGAAATTATTGAAAGAGATAACATCTCTATTACCACCAAGTCATACGCTCTCTCTTATAAGATTTATTAGTTTCAACGATTAGACTTTTCAAAACATATATTTCTTATTTGATATCTTGTTAAAAAATAACAAGTTAATAGGTATAATAGTTTAAATAATAGTTTAAATTAAATGTGTTAGTTATTTTTGTCTTATTGGCATTCTTGCAAACAAGTATACCAAAAAAATATATATATATATAAATACATCAAGCTGAAACAGCCATATCTATATTTCAGATTTATCATAAATAACCATTAGTATATATCATTCGTTCTGTAACAAGAAAAATTAATTAATTAAAACTATTTAAACTGTTTTTGATTTATTTTAAAAGAAGATATATTTTCTTTTAATATGATGTTTAATATTTATTCTATTTACTTTATTTTTAACATCGCACTTTTAATTTAAATGTTCCCAAATTAAGTTTGGAATGTACCGTATGCATTCTGGTGGGAACTAAAGAGACATACTCGAGACGGAATAAATTGTGGAAAACTTGCAAACCAGTATGTATCGCCAATACTGGCAAAATAGCCTTAACCTTCAATGAAATGAGGAATTGTTATAATGAATCGAGAATCTCATAAAAGAAGAGCAAACTATTTAAAATGATAATGCATTCTTCCATCTATATGAACATTAGCCAAATCACGATTCATTTGTAAAAGTGTAAAAATATATCTAAAGCAAAATATATTCCAGAATCTAAATCAATTAGTTCACTCGCCTTTCGAATCATCCGTTGTATAAACTGTACGAAATCATTTCAACAGTAAGCTTTCACAGTTAAACGCAAACACAATATCGTTTATTTACATGATCATTCCAAAATATAACAAGGTGTAAATTGGTTCATTTCTAATTAATCTTTAAAAATGTATCTGTTTCTTAAAGAAATGTAGCTATTTTAACCTCATTTGTGTAATATAAACCTACATGTTTATAGCAATCTCTTTAACAAAATTATCTTACGAGTTCTCTGTATTATGACTCAGAAACACATGTATACGTTAATAAAATTTGCTTTTATCTGAATAAAACTCTAGGGACATATTCATTTTTTAACAAAATTGATCCTGTTTTTCTGATTACTTTCGAGAAATTGAAGGTAAGTATGACAGAAAGCGAACGTCGTTATTTGCAAATCGAGGTGCGCTGGACCATGTATCATCAGTAAGGTTGAAACGCACTGGTACCTTAAGATGTACTTAGACGTTAGCTTAAATACCGCCTGGATTCAAACTGGAATCAATTACTTTACATAATAATAATAAAAATAATAATAATAATGATAATTAAGAAGATTTCATGTAGAATATAATTTTGTTTCTCTTCTTGTGCTAAAGGTGCTATAATACATCAGAAACCACACCAGTCATGTAACAGGCAACTGGTGCCAGAACGGTAGAGTTTATGACAAGGCATCCAGTTAGTGCTTAAGATCACACTTTGAGAGAATGTTAGGTAAAGTTCAAAATAACTTGTGCATTTCTTTTCTAATAGGTGTAATGCTAAAACACCACTCTATAGCCTAGGTGCACTACGTCCTTGTCTGCAGTTTTTTCCCCTTCCCTTCCAGAAGTCAAGTATACATGTACTACTTGGTGATGACTTTCTAACCATCACGGGTTCATCTGCGAACAACTGCTGGGCTATGTCTTCAGTTTGGTCATCAACCATTACCTCTGAATTATCTGTTGCCATCTTTTGTAGAATATTGAGGATTCGCATTTTCATTATTTCTCCCAATTCGTTAGATACTACCTCACGACCTTCTGGGTTCTGCACAGAAAACAAAAGAACACAAACGTTAGTATTATAATTTATGACGATATTATACTTCAATAGACCGTTCCAATAATCCCCACCCGTTAAATTGTTAAATTATTTTTAGTCACACAAAAGGACAGCTTATGTAATATGTGACATGCACGTATGCCAAACCCTGTTTTCATCTGTCAGTTATTAATTTGATGACATTTCGGAACGGCCCATTGCATATATATTAAACAGAAACAAATCTGAGATCCTTCTTCCTGTACGTTCATGTTGTAAAGAATAGACATTGTATCTTGTCACTTGACCAACGTAGCCACATTGTCTATGATCTATGAATAACAGTTTCTTTCTGTTTTGCTTATTTTTCTATTATGTGTTCCAATTATTTACTTGACGTCAATGTAATTATGCTATGTTTAAATTGGCTTTCGCGTAAAGTAAATCTTGGTTTATACTTTTTTTTTATTTCATGAAAATTGAGGTCATTGACCCATTGTATATACAACTTAACATTGTAACATTCTGAACAATTAACTGTGAGTTGTAAAAAGCCATTAAATCTAAGCTCTGTTCTTGCGTACAAGGTGTAGATAGATGCATAACTTCCTAATTATGGATCTGGATTACGACAGCTCATTGATAGACCTTATATTGCGTAGGAAACTACAACTATTATTTGTTTCCTATTAATATAGTTTACATTTCAGAAGAAAGTGAAAGTTTGGTTTTCAATTTCTCCCTTACAAAGACAAAAATTCATTCAAATTACTATTCAACTGAGAAAATAATTAAATGAAATATGGATTAAAATTCAGTTAGTTTTCAATATCAATAACACGTAAAGTTTTTAATGTACATAGGGCCTAACGATAATTGTTTGACCTACTGGATTTAATTTCATTTCAGTTATTTTGTCTTAAAAGAGTACAATAAAAATTACAAGTTTCAAAAATCGAGATACCAAATTATAACTTTCAACCAAGATTAGAAAAAATTGGACGCCGTAAGGGTCGTAGGTAAATCGAGGTAAGTTCGGTAAACTTGTGTTAACACACAAATTACCAACTGCAGCTGGTAGCAAATTCTCTGTTTCACCTCGCTAGCTAGTGTTGTTTGGTTCAGGTTAGGAGGCACCTGATCCCAGAAAAGATCAAGACTTAAACAATGCTAATCGGAGTACACAATGCAGTGAGCACGTATTACGTTAATGTAGTAACATTCTTTATTATTTATAGCCAATCAAGAATTAAAGGTCAGAATGCTTATATTTTCAGAGAATTATAATGTATGTGGGTATATCAACAGTATATGTCGTCAACAGTTTATGACGTCAAATATAGTACGCTTAGCTACTTTTGGAAATTGGACCGGATATGGGCGTATCTTTTAACACCTCTCTTAACGCCTAACTGCTTTTAGATAGTTGCCCAGATGTAGCCCTTTCTGATGATTTAACACTGCTCAATAAAATGCCTTCTTATCGTTATAAATTAGAATGATAATACAAACATAATAATAAAACTAAAAACATAATTAGATTAATCTTTTAAAACATCGGTAATTTTCTCCGAGTAATCAAGCATAATTATTATTTGCCAACTGCAGGCAATCATGCAATTTACCTACTATAACTGCAGACAATCATGCACATTGCTGTCTAATTGGTATGTTAAATATTAATGAAAAGTTATTGTAACGTCGACTGTAACATTGATTTTTTGTCAACCCTTACTGTATACCTAAACATACAAGCTATTGGTCAAGTAACTTAATGCATTGTTCAATATAAATTATATTATGAACACATGTAATTATTTCTCTCAAAGAGCAGAACAAAAAAATATCAGTAAATGTAAAATTTGGCGAATAAAGCTCTTATTATATTTAATTCCTATTTTTTCATTCAACTGACAGGGTATATCTGTCGTAGGATATCTGAAACTCATAATTCGTGAAGAGTCTATTTATGTTTCCATTGGCATTTTGGTGTTATTAGGGACCTGATGAAATGACGTTTATGTCCATTACACCTGTAGGCCTACATTATAACATAGCTTTTTGTTCATATGGATCAATCTGCAATCGCCTGAATTGATCATTTCCAAGAAATGTCATACCACATTTCGTCCCTTATATAGCGTAGTGGCGAATGTGGAAAAGTGCATTTTGAGAACGCATTTAAAGATGTTTGGAAATAGTAATTTTTATTAGCATACCTTCTTTTATATGAAATTGCCTAAATTTCTATTTGATTATAGTACATTGCCTGTACACTGTGTATAAAATATATGACCATAATAACGATTGGTTAATTAGCAATTCATCATTAAACTTATTCGTCAATTCGAAAAAAAAAATTAACATACAAATTGCAGTAATTTAACATTCGCCACACATTCGCCACTTTGTGGGGAAAAAAATCAAACCAACTAACATTCGCCATTGGAAATTCAAGCCAGTAGGCAGGATTTTTGATGTGAAGGGTTAAGTGCGTTTTAGCGAGCAAGGTGAGAACCTTAGGCCACGGGACCTGGGCCATCTAGGAATCCCTGGGGGTGTAGGGGCAGAGCTCTGGTGTAGGGTGCACATCTCTCCGAAGCGCCGATAAATTTGCATTTTGAGTGGATTTGCCGTACGATTTAAATCGAAATGGTTCTGGGTTTGGTACAGGCGTGGCACGAGGGAAGAACGGGGTGGAAAACCACAACTCGTCGGTGAGAAAAAAAAAATTATATGTATTTTCATATTAGTAGACTTTAAAATCGATTAAATAAGCCTTTGAAACCCCTAAATTGTCAAAATTTTCGGGGACTTCACCCCCTGGACCACTTTAGAAAGAAGGGCTTCACTCCCCCCCCCCCGGTCCACTGTAGAAAAAAATTAAGCGACGTTCGACTACACCCACTTTGCTCTCGTTGGGGGAAATCGGCCCCCTCGTCCGGGCATAATACTAGGGCAAATATAATGTAGTGTTAACATTTTTTTTATAAAATAAAAGATACAGGGAGAAAGAAGAAAAGCAAAAAGATCCGGAGTGGCTCAGAATTGTACTGACAATTATATAATAATGATATGGCTCATTATATATTATCATATATTATATTTTACGAGTTTGTATTAAATGTATGTGCGTAAATATACAAAGTCAGATGCGTGAGTGTGCGCTGAATATGTAGCTTTTCTCGAAAAATGCGTTATAATAACCAATAATACGGAAACAAATCGTTTCATGTTAAATCCTCTATAATTCAAAAATAAAAATAACTGTATAAAAAATAACAATAATGATTAAAATGATTCAAAATAATTTATGGAAATTAATTAATTTTTGAACGTAATTTAGAACTAGTAAAAAGATTCATTTAAGTTTCTTATTATAATTAATGTATTTAATAATATAGGTATTGTGTTAACCTATGACCTATACGAAGCATGAGCTCCTGTAGACCAAACCAGTGCCGTTTCGTTTTTACGGGAAATCCACTTACGATGATACGCTCATTTAATTTATGCTTGCACGCAGGCGCGGATCCAGACATTCCCCGTCAGTTCCCCAGGCGATGGTCAGGGTGAGAAATAAAAATATAATGTTTTATTTATTTACTTATTTTGAACATTATCATTAGGACATTGTTTAAATCCACACTAGCCTATATCTTACACTTTTACACTGATTGTACTGCAGGCCCTATCAGAGAGGTCCCATTACATTATGGTCTTCCATTTCTATAGCGCATAATACAGTGCATGACAAACGTTACGCTACTAATTCGGAGTCTCTCAGCTCAGTCTTACTTGTGTCTATGTTGGCATTTACACTGTGTGTTTATAGCATTGTTTTAAAGTAATAACCTATCAGAAATTCACATGAACAACAAAACCAATGAAAATATATTTGGCTTAACTATTGTTTTCGGCAACAGTGGCGTATCCAGAATTTAAGGAAGGAGTGTTGGGTGCTGATGAAATGAGAGTCCACACCACGTCAGCGCCATTGTGGTTGGCGGTGACGCGAAAATTTTAGCATTTTATACCTCTGGGTGCCTGGAAATGGAACTTAAATTGCCATTTACTTCTTTTTATTTCGGACGAATTGAGTAAAAAAATCCGCATTAATTAAATAGGTATCCGAAAATGACATTTAAATATTTACAGTTCTAAAAACTACCATATCCAACTGAGCCCCACCATGGTTGTGGCTCAGGTAAAAAAGTTTGAGACTCGTATAGATTTCCAAAAATAGCACCTGATTAGTACAAAACTTACGATATCTACCTGAGCCCCACAATGGTTTTGGGGCGCAGATGAGTAAATTTTAACCATTTGAGACTTTATAGATGCACGAAAATGGCAATTTGAGACTTTTAGATGCCGGAAAATGGCACTTCAATACATAAACACTACGAAAATTACTATATCCACTCAAAGAGTAGTGGAATTTCATAAAATGTTACCCACAAAATTTAAAGGGTGGTGCGCTAAATGTTAAAGGTTGGATACATTTAGTACTATTTATGGTATCGGACACGACTCAGCATGACCCGTGTCAAACAATTTAAATTTCATTTATTCGATACATTTAATTTAATTTATTATTGCAAATAGTATATGTACACTTAAATAACCTGTTCAAATATCTATCCATCAACACTTAGTGATACGCATCTTTGGATATATATAAAACAGACTCCATCTTGTAGGTATTAGTTTTGATGAATTGTTACCTACAAGATGGAG